GCACGTACACCACGGCCCCGGCGACCCGGCGCGCGGCGGAGAGGGCGGGGGATGCGCGCACGCGGCCGGCGGGCTAGGCCTCCTCCTCTGAGCGCCCTCCTCCCCCTTCTTCACCCAGCGCCGTCCTCCTCCCCTTTCTCCTCCTCTCCTTTCTCCTCCTCCCCTTTCTCCCTCCAACTCCTCCTCTGCTCTCCTTAGTCCTCCTCCTCTACCGCTCGCTTTAGTGGTCCTCCTCTTCCACCACCTCCTCCAACTCCTCCTCCTCTCGCTTTGCTCGTCCTCCTTCCTTGTCTCCTCCTCTCCGACCTCCTTCACAGCGTCCTCCTCTCCTCCTCCCTCCTCCCTCGTCGTCCTCCTCCTCCTCCCTCCGGCTCCGCCCCGGGCGCGCGCGGCTCCACCTGCCTGCGAGGGGGGGTGCGCGCGCGCGCGCGCGTTCTGGGCCAGGACGGCGGGTCGCGCTCCGGGGCTGGTGCTCCGTGGTCGTGGCTACCCGGATTTCGCAGAGGAGGAAACGGAAATTCAGACAGCTTGCCCGGGTCACGCAGAGCTTGGAGTACCTCCGAGAGGCCCCCGCGGGCGCGTTCCTAGGCTGCTGCTCCCTGGAAGGCTGCAGAGGGTACAACAAAGGCTGTCCACCCCGTGCCCTGGGCCGACCCTCTGAAATCCGGCAGTCCGTTTCTGCTTTTGCTTTTGCTTTGATTATGGTTTTTTACTATTCTTAAAGTCTGTGCGACTTTTTCCCCCAGTGCAGGACCCCGGGAAGATGTTTATAGCTCCTGGGTTAAATAAGGTAATCAGGGCTCAGTTCCACATCCGCATTCAGGCTCTGAAGTTCTCACAAGAGGGTGATTACATGAGCAACTTTATACGGGTTTTTTAAATCTCGCAATAGTATCTGTGCTACACTGACGAATGCGATTTTTCTTTGTTGTTTTGAGAGCGTCGGGCTGCCCTGGAACTTCCAATCTAGCATGCTGACCGAGATTACAAACGTGCATAGCCGGCTTTCTATCTTGATCTTTTCTTTGTTTATTTACAATACTGGGAATTAAGATGAACACAATTGTTTTTGTTTTTATGGAGCCTTGAAACCTCCCGGAAAGAAACTGGGGATTTTCTTTTCCTCGTGTCATTTGTCTGAAGAATAAAGAAGACCAGGCCAGGGGAAGGTGGCTGATGTATAATTCCAGCAGTGGACAGAGTGAAACAGGATGTCAGTAAGTTCGGGACCCACCTGGTCAACTTGGTGAGTTCCAGATGAGCCAGGGTTACAAAGGGCTACATAGAGAGCCTATATCAAAACAAAACTATCCCAGGCACACATGTATCATACTGCATTTTAGGACATAGAGTTCGGTTCAGAGACTTAAGCAAGTGGCAACCTAGAGTTTGAAATGCCCTAGGAGAAGGATGATTGAATAGGATGGGAACACAGAGGAACTCCTACCTCTGCCCTTTGAAGTAGGATCCCAAGCAGAGCAAGCCAAATGCCTAGAAATGTAAAGGAACTGTTTCAGGACTTAGAAAAACAAACATTAAAAGCATATGTGGATCTGGGCATGATAGCACATGACTGTAACCCTAGCCTTTGGGAGATGGAAGCAGGAGTTAGCCTTGGCTACTCACAGGCCACCCTGTGCTGTGTGTTATCCTGTCTCGAAGGCAAAACTCCAACCATTTTGAACTCAGGATGTAATGCAATAGCAGAGCACTTCCCTAGCATGTATAAATTTAGCCTTGGGTTCAATTCCCAGCACCACAAAAATATTTTTTTAAAAAAAATGTATGTTTGACATATGGAAATAGAGTCTTACAAGTGCCTAGAACCCTGTTGCATATTAACCTACAGCAATGGTGTCAGCATACACAGGACCCATGCACACTCAAACAGTCAAAAACACAACATAGAAATGGACAGCTAACCCCAATCTTAGCTGAAGAAATATTGGCAACTGATTACTGCTGGATGGGAAAGAACTGATAAACTATAGATAGGCTGACTAGATCTCAGTAGATGAACTTGTACTGAGGGATGTCTAGGGGCACTGACTTGACACAATAGGCCTTAAAAGAAATCATAGAATATATGAATTCCAGTGAGGGACTGTGGGAGGGTGCCAGTGAGGAAGGAGATATAAAGATTAAGATTGATTGAGATGTTCTATATGAAATACAAGAAATTTCAATAAAACCTTTTTTTTCTTGTTTTTTAATTTGTTGTGTTAATTTTTATTCTATAACAAATCACCACAGCTTAATGGCCAGACACAACACATGGAGTCACAGCTGGCCATGGCTTAGCTGGGTTCTTTGCTCAAGATTTCAGTTAGGGGCTGAGGCTACCTTTATCAGAGTTTTAAAGGGGAGTTTGATTTCCAGTTCATTCACTCTGGAGAGCAGTCGAATTCTTCTTGCTCATGTTTCTTGGGGTGACTGCTATCTGAGGGTCTTTTTTTTTATTTTTGAGACAGGGTCTCACTGTAGCCCCAGCTGGCCTGGAACTCACTTTGTAGACCAGGCTGGCCTCGAACTCAGAGATCCACCTGCCTCTGCCTCCCAAGTGCTGGGGTTAAAGGTGTGTGCCACCACTCCGGGTTCTATCCCAGGGTCTTTTTTTAAAAAAATAATTTCTTGAGAATTTCATGTATGCATATAAGGTATATTGATCAATTCCATGCCCACTCCCTCCCCTCCAACTCCTCCCGTATCTTCCCATCACTTTTTTTTCTGATAACTTCATGTACTCTTTCTTCTTCTTTATTTTTTTGTGGGGCTTTTGGCTACTCTAACATTCCCCCTAAAATCTTTTAAGGATTAGATACAAACTCCCAAATACTTTCAACATTTTGGGCCTTTGGAACAGAGTATGTTGCTAAGAGGCCCAAGGACACTTTGACTTTTAGCCACAAAACTGGCTACTTTTCTTTGGGGTCTTTTTACCCTAACTGCCTAGCCAATACCTACCTACTGTTCTTATCATACCATCCTCTGAAGAGCAGGATGCAGATTGCTCTGGCTTTAAATTGCCATTAGGGACTAGGGACACAGACTGCTCTGGCTTCTTCTGTGCTGTACAGAGAGGGATGCAAGGTGAGGCAATTGGAGTACCCCTTCAGTGGGTCTATCTAAGAGACTCCCAAATTGCATAACTCTTATCTCTAAGGGGAAAAGAAAGTCCTTGAATTGTGAATAGAAGATGTTAAGGAGAAGTAAAGGCAAGTTGTAGACAAGGAACTAGAAAAAAGAACAGTAATTTTCCAATTTTCATATGAGAGGCCATTGGAATTTCTTGACAAGGGCTTCCAAAATCATTGGGTTCCTCCTCATTTTTCTTTTGTCTTCCAAGGCTGGGCTCTAGAGTGATAGATTCAGGATTTGCTTTCAGGTATTTTGATAGCTGTTGGAGTGGTTAGAATCAGTGTCAGTTACCTCGAAAAGGCTTTGAGATAACTGAGGTGTTGCTGAGGTGTATGAATGACCTGAGGGTATGCACACTGGATAGCCTTTTCCCAGCATGGGTCATGCCTTCTCTTCCTAGCTTTCAACAGATTGTATACTTTAGCCCTCCCCAAATTCAGCAGGCCATGTGTGATTAGGGTCAAATTACATACAGTTGGATAATCCAGAGAGGGTTCAATGTCCCTGCTTGGCCCTCCTTTAATGAATGAGGACAGCCTTCAGCCATCGCAATTGTGATGAAATTTAGTGATCAGGCTCAGCTGAAGTCATGATGATGGTAGTTATTTCACACAGAAGGGACTGTTGTATAGCATCATCTGATTAAAAGGATCAGGAATTTAAAAGGATTTGGTGCTAGGATCCACATATGAGGGAGAATGTTCTTCGTTTGTATTTCTGAGTCTGTGTTACTTCACTTAGTATAACAGTTTCTATATCCATCCATTTACCTGAAAATTTCATCTTTCTTTACTGCTGAATAGACCTCCAATGTGTAAATAATACCACCTTTTTGTTAACCACTCATTAGTTGAGGGACACTTAGGTTCCTTCCATCTCTTAGCTATTGTGAAACGAGCAGCCACAAACATGGTTGTACAAGTGTCTCTACAATAGGATGAGTCCTTTGCAGTAACATCCAGTAAGGTTAGTTACTGTTAACAGTAACATCCAGTAAGGTTATCATGTGCTATGTAGATAAGGCTTGGGTAAAAAGACAAATATTTTCAGATAAACCTTGACTAGATACATATTTTGTTCCTTAAACTAGTTGACTAAACTATGAACATAGAAATTTTAAGATTATGTTATAATATATATCATATTATATGTATATATTTATATAGCTGGGCGTGGTGGCACACGCCTTTAATCCCAGCACTCGGGAGGCA